CAAAATAATCAGGTACCTAAACTTATGTACAGCAAAATACACAAGTTAGAAAGCAAAAGAGCACAGAGAAAATTCTTGCAGAAAGAAGGACAACCATTAACCTTTGCACATCCCAGACAGCTGAGCCTGGTGCAGTTCACTGAGCAGATGGAAGGCAGGAAACCTTACACCTGTCTAATGGGATTCTCATGTTCCCCAATGCACAGCAGGAAGTGCTGCATGCATGGGACTCCACACACACACAATTTGCAATAAATGAGATGCTACAAACCTACTACTGGAGGATAGTGAAGCTGTCTGGCAACATCCTACATGTTCCCAGCTAGGAACACATAGAAGCACTGAAGGATAGAGGGCAAAATGGGCCATAGAGATAAATCACCCCTTGGTCCCCACATGGAGCTCCTCCCAGCATGCCACATGCCAGGTGAACACAGGAGCCCCTGTAGGTGGCACGGGCATACACACCAGTGCTGAGCCCTGAAAACCACCCAGCCACAGCAGCACCTCCTGCCAGCACAGACCTATTGCTGCTATCTTATGTTGGGTTGACATGCAAAGTGCAGATGGACCCTACCTGAGCCAGGATACGAGGGCTTTTCAGGGAGCTGCTCAGCCCACAAAACCTTATACTGCCTGCCTCCAAGGCACTGTATAAGGATCATCCTTGTGCACTTCCTCAGGCAACACAAACCCAAAATTCATGGCTGTGAGTGTTGCAAAGATGAGATGTACAAATACCTAAGGTATGCTGAGTAGCAGAACATATCTCCCCATGGGCACGTTTCATGGTGCCTCAATTATATTAGTTAGCATCCTCTCTAGCACACTAGGGTAGCAAAAGTTCAGAGTATCCATCAGGGAGATGCATACAGTTATTACAAAGGAGTTTTATATTAATAGAGGCAAATTTGTGTTTTACACAATGCTACAGCATAGGACCTCTCAGCAAATGCCTTTACCTCAGCCCTTTTCTTCACATGCATTCAAATCTCCATTGAAGTTGTGCATGTCTGTACATGTATAAACTGACCATCAGCAAGAGGATACAGGGAATCAACAAAATACTTACAAAATACTAAACAAACCAAAACACTTATCCTGAAAGAGCCAAGCATATTCTATTCCAAGGAGAATCTCCATGCAATCCTGCAATACTGTCTTATGAAAAATGAGTCATGTCTGAATACATCATATAAGAAAGCTCCATGAACCAATGATCCAACTATTCAGAGATGGGTATCTGCTCAGGCTATGTAATTTTTCCATCCTATCTGTACAGCACAAGCAACACAAGCATGAAAAAAAGCAAAGTGGGATGTGTAAAGCAATGTGGAGACACATAAGTTGCTCTCTGAGCAACAACTGGGCTCCAGTGAATCGTTCAGTGTAGCCTGGTAACTAAGAGCAGCACCAGAACTAAAGTGTAACACACCTCTGCCTACCCAAAAATGATCCCCAAGACCACAAAAACAGATATAAAATGTGTCTCTCCTGTCCAACTGAAAGAATTCAGTCAGCAGTTTCTAGAACAGTTATCCATCTAACATCCGCTTATTCTTATGGTTGTTGTCATGGCTCAGAGGGAAGCTGGAATGCTGCTCAAACCTAATGTTTTCCCAAGTGACAAATAGCAAAACGGTACTAAAGATTAGGCAGCAAAACAAACAAACAAACAAAAACAACATAGAAACCTGGGATGCAGAAGACAGAAATGGTTCCACAATTCTGTGCTGTTACAAAGTCCACCCCATCTCTTCTCCTAATACAGTGAATGGCATCAGAGAAAAGACAACACTGCTGTGGCTGTTGTGCTGGAGAAAATGAACAATGGCCCTGAAGGGTAGCAGCACTACTAGTCTGTAGGATGCATGGCAGAAGTGACTACTGTGACCATGCAGCTTTTCTTCCTGTGCAACAAAAGGGCTGTACAACTTTATGAATGAGTTATTGTTTGACCTATTATCTGTCTGTTTGCCACACACATTATCCTGGACAAGCAACAACCAGTGATAGAAGATCCCACAGACTCTTTAGGTAAATTGTTTTAGCAATGAATTTGTCTCACTATTGATTTTTTTGTTTTGTTTTATATTTCTCCAACTTCAATACCAAACACTTCGCTGCTTTCACCTTTTCAGCTGGAGGAGCCTGTTGGCTCCTATGTAGGTATTACACTTGGTGAGCAAGTTACCAGTCAGTTTTCATCTTGCAAAGTAAGACTGAGATCTGTAGTTTCAGGACTACAACTATTGAAGTGTTCAAACTCTCCAGTTTATAAATTTTCTTTCCTGAAAAGCAGATGTCATAAACGTGTGTTTCTGGCTGAGCTACATTCCCTTTTATATAAGAAATCACATATGCTTGCTGATCAAAGCATATCTTAAATATACTTGGTGATAATGGGACCAATTAGGATTAAGTCTGAAAACTACCAGAAGTACCAACAACTGAAAGAACTATGAACACAACCTAGTTCTGTACCAAAATATGGTCCCTCTTAGGGGAACATATGAAGATCTCCTCTAAGCTTTCAACAGAGCCTCTCTCCTGTAATGAGCCAAAATCTGTGACTTCACAGCTTCTTTTATTTTTTTTCTCTTTTTTTTTCTTTTTTTAATATCCATCATCTTCCTCCAGGGAACACTTCAGCAATGAGTAATCAGACTGCCTGCAGGACTTCTGCCAGGCTGTGTGAGCTTGTCATTCCTGCAGCAGCAACATTGGACAAGCTGTGATCACTGAGATTGGGGCATTTAGCAGCTTTGAAACTAATCTGCTCTCCTCTAAAGCCTGAGCTCAGCCTAGTACAGAAAAGGGAAAGATCTAATAAGCATGATGGCATGGCAGGCAATCCAGCAGAAGTGCCTCCTCTATCACAGAAAGTGAAATGGAAAAATAAATTAAAATGAAGCAGGATAACCTTTATTATACAGATACACAGGCAATAATATATGCAGTAGTCAAAGTAAGTTAGATGCAGGGTCTGGGCACCTCTCACAGAAAACAGCTGAGGTGGTTTCATCCTGTTTACAACTGTGATGATAGTTCTGCAACACCTTCCTTGCCAAGTCTGACCACTCCATCACACATGCAGGCCTGAATGCACCTGTCCACACAAACCCTGAGCAGGTCTGCCTGCACCCAGGGCCACTAATTCCACTACCTGCCACTCAATACTATCACTGGTTACAGACATTCCCCAGGGCCTGGAGCAGACATTATTTCCATTACCGCAGACCAATCGCTCCAGGCAAAGATCTGCAAGCAGCCCTCCTGGCACACAGCACAGCCCTTTCAATACCTAAGAATGTGCCAAGCAAACTGAGAGACTGCAAGCAAGGTCTCAGGATTCCCACTGAATTCCTAGTATGGCCACAAGAAGCCGGAAAATGGATCCAAAATGAAAGCCCACAATGCAGAACGTCATGAGCTCAGAAGAAGGGGACAAACTCCATTCTCCTCTGAAAGGACACGTGGTCATGTGCTTTCATTCTTGTTGCTGACAGAGAGCCAAAGTGCCAGCGTGGGTAACAGCCAAATAAAGTCTTCCAAGAGCCTTTTTTTACCTTAATGATAAAAAAGCTACAGCATTAATGTTCAGAGGAAAAGCAGGAATTTAGAAGTCTCCACCCAGTTTTGTCAGAGCTTCACACAGGACTGTGGTAAATAGCTTCATCCTGAACAGCAGGCTATACTTTGCTTAAAAAGGATTTTTGTTCTACTTAAACTACTTTGATTTGCTGAAATCTACTGCATTTACTTATGAAGGCAGAATTATACTGTTTTCTGTGTTTTAAACTGCTACATCTCACAAGCTAGGACTTTTCACTTAACAACCTCCACTTCTTCTAGAGAGTAGATCTGGGAGCAGGGCTGGGCTGATTTAATAGCAGCTACACAGCATCCATATCACAAGGGAGAGTGTCTGCATCTGGCTGAAGGGGACACAACATACTCTCTGCTATGGAAGTGTGATTTCACTAAGCAGAAGGCTGGTGTGGCATGAAATCTGGTGTCCTGAAGCTCTGTCCCATTACAGTCTATGTCTGGAGAGGCATTCTATGATGTCTGCTGAGCACTGTTAACTACAGAAAGCAATAGCTGTGCTTTCAAGCCATTAGCAGAGTCTTGGCTCACAGACTTGGATGAGCTGGCAGCTCAGCCCTATGTTGAATTAGTGTGATACAAAAGGAGCTATTAGGATCTGTCTTTTATATTTCCCAAAACATAGAGTATAGCTGCTTGCACCTCTTTTTACTTGAACGTACCCTTCTTTACCAGCATCATCCTCACCTTCTTCTTTCTTTTCTATTTCAGAGAAGGAATTATTTTAGGATTGCCACTTCATTTTTGATTTCCCCCGTGGAAACAAAAATAGGATTACTCTTGTTTCCATCCCTCACACACATTCCAGTTTCCAACAAGAACAGAGCTGCTTCCCTTCCATTGTGCATAAAACTCTCCACACCCAGAATTTCCAAGGCAAAATTGCCAGTGGGTCCTGGGATGTTTCAGCCTGTTCCTGTCCAAGCTCTTCTCTGCCACTATCAGTGGCACACACTGCAATGAGCAGTCACAGCAACCTGAGGCAATCTGGTGTTACATGAGAAGGAATTCCAAGGGGACTGGTTATGTGAACAGGGAGAACTCAGCACAAATAACAGGTTCTACCCCTGGGCACATCTCCCTTCTGTCTAGTGTATTTCCAAACCGCATGAGAGCTTTCTGTAGGCCATTTCAGAAGTGTAAATTCAGCTCTTGCTTCCAGTATAAGGTTTGGGGCTCAGAGTTTAAGATTCATTTGTTGCATGCATTTATTTGCCTTATGTCTAAGACCACTCTTACTGGACGGTAGCACCCAGTAGACAATGCAGAAATGAAAGTACACATTCAATACAGCATGTTCTTATTTACCGAGGAAAAGGAAAACATGGGGAAGTAAGAGCAAAGTGAAAAAAACCTCACATTTATTCAAGTCTGTTAACTCTATGTCTTACCTTCCTATGGGTCCCAGATCCCCTGAGTCCTGGCTGCCTGCGTCACTGGGTGTGCTCACTGATTTCGAAGAGGGAGACATAGGGGTTGGGACTAAATAATGAAAATAACAGGTATCCCATGTTAACACATGCAGCGACTGCACTGATGAAGAGCAGTGTCAGACAAATCAAAACCAATGGACCAAAATGATAGTGGATGAATGAGTAGGAGAGTTTGAAATGGTGAAAGCAAATAAGGAAGGAAAGAAAAAGAAAAGGAAGAGAGTCAAGTGAATTTTAAGTTTTCTGGAAGTGTTAAAACTGACATGTATCTAGACAGGACTGAAAGCCCAATGGAAATCTACAGCTAATCAATGGAGAAGATACCTGTAGAAATAAAATAGTACTTGTTTTCTTGAGTCTGGTTTGAAGTTGATTTGCAAAAGATTTTAAAGGTATGAAGAAGTATAAGGGACTTGTCTTGTCAAAAATCTAAGTGAACTCTTCTGGTAAAGTCACGTAGGAAGCAAGCATACTTTTTAAATTCTGAATTTAAATCAAAAGCCGGCGTCCATTAGATATGCTCTAAGGCTGCAGTGTGGAAATGACATCAAAAATAAAAGATAAATAAGGAAATCAGCTAAGTTAAAATCATTTCCCAAAGATGCTGAGAATTCACAGTTTACTCGGTGATTGTTTTCTTAAGTAATGTAGGTCATACAATATTTCCATTTTGGGTGGGACATGATTTCAACATTCAAGGAAAATTCCCTTGGTTTAGACACTATTTGCCCAAGCTCTTGAAATTATTTTCTCTTTGCCTTGCCAGGGTTTTTGAAGCATATTTCATGCAAAGGCAGTTTTGTTTCCTGAAACAGGAAAGGAAGTTCATAGCTCAAGGTCAGGCCAAGTTAAAGCTCTTCAACAAAGAAATAATAAATAAAAGAGCAAAAATATCCTGATTTCTTTTAAAATGGTTTCTCAAAAATATTAAAAATTAAGAGATGGCTCCAGTCAAGATTTAAAGCACGTATTCTTCAAAGCAGCCACATTGAATAAAACACAAAAAGAGGGCTTAATGCAAAAGCAGTTTCCATTTGGTTTAAATCATGTGCATTTCTTTTTATAGATTTAACAGAGTAAAACTTTAAAATACTTTGTTATGCTTTACAATGTATAATGACAGATCTGTCAAGAGATTTGGATTTTCCATATGGTCAAGCATTTAATGCAGATTCTACCTAAAGACTGTCACAGAAATGACTGCAGCATGAAAAGTGAATTCATCTTGGTGACAGCCCTTTGGCAGGTTACAGGTATGTCTGGTTGTTTACATCTTCCATATTCAGAGTGAGACCTGGCATCATGTGAAGGTGGAATTAAATCCTCCTTTTTATATTAATTGTGAGTGTATGTAAGTGGAACAAAAGAGAACAAAATACTATTTTTAACTAAATAATCTTACACATGAATTTATGTATTCTTTTGACAGGATCAAACAGAAAAAAATTAAGATAAAAACTGATAATTTGCAACATGAATATATGTGTTTGGTTAACAAAATTATAAGAGCATATATACTCATTCTCACATAAAAATGAGTATTTTTAATGCTATACATTAAAAATATATCTGATTTTATCTTGGGCCTTACTTTTGTATCATGATATAATTTAAAAAACATATTTTATTATACATAAAAACAACATAAGCATTACTTGTCAGACAATTATTTTGAGAAGTGGTGTCTAAAAGCTTCAGTCACTCTATCATAAGTTATAAAAATAGTAACTTTTCTCAATACATGTTGGTTGATGCAAGTAATTAATTCAAATTCCAATTCAGATGTTACTACCTACTTGCATATGCACCCAGGCATCTGTATAAGCTATTTCCTAAATCAAAACTTCAACATTTTGTCAAATTTGAAGTTTCTCCTATACATTACTGGCAAAAATAACCAGGAGTAAAATTCTAGATTCAGTCACAATGAACTTAATGAAAGGGCTTGATAGTTCCCGAGAGGCCAAGGTTTCAGCTAAAACAATGAGAGTGATCCCAAATTTGAGGGAGAGGGGGAAGGGGAAGGGGACGGGGAAATGGAAGGAAATTTCTCACTTTAGGACCATTCCATAAATAAGGCAGATCTTAATCAAGGTAATCCATACTCAGATACTGTATGTGTTTTTAAATTGAAGCCTTCAGGTTCTATAACTAAAACATCAAAACAAAAAAAGATGTCAAGCAGATGAAACCAGAGCAAAGATATACAATAGTGTCTGTTGTACAAAAATGTGCAAAAGTGTTTTTCTATTTGTGATTTGGGTGTTTTGTTTTGTTTTGGTGGGTTTTTTTTTATTTTGCCTCTCCAATTTTTCTTAATTTTACAAGAAACACAGTGGAAGTTCCACATAACTAAGCTCCTCCTTCCTTACATATGCTTTATTTGAATTTTTGAATCAAGACTTGGGGCTAAGGAAGTTAGTACTAATATTTTTGAGTGAGAAGACAAAACAGTCCATCAGAAAAGAAATCACTGCTGGTATGCAAAACCAACCTACATTATGTTCATAAAAAATTCTTGAAGAAATGAAACAGATGTTTTTGGCAATGACAAGTACTCAAAATGCCATGAGCTTGTATACGTGAATGGTATGGCAGGCATTCAAACAGAAGAGTTCACTTCACTAATACAGCCAAAAATCAAAAAAGCCAAGCATGCTTTAGTAGAAAGAAAGCATTAGTTGTGGCAGAGCTGAATGCTTTACAGTGTGCTTCTCTGAAATACCTAGAGGTGGTTCTGGGGATATACCAATGCTCTGTAACAAAGCCTCTGTCTCTCTTCTTTTACGGTCTAGGTCAGAATCTTCCTGAGCTGGCTCCTTCTTCTGCTGTAGATCAGCCTGAGTTAAACCAGAAGAAAACAGAAAAGTTTATTTCATATATAATCAGTTCTAGCAATTCTATATGTGGAAATATTTGTATGCACTATTGCTTAGGTACAATTTAAAATTAATTTTGATACTTTTAGGTAATTTATAACTTAGATAATTTGTACTGTATATATCAGCAACAGTATTTTTCCCTAAATGGATGATAAAACTGGTTTTTGCAAGGATATTTGCAAGAATTTTTACCGGACAATGATGGAAATTTTCTGCCTCTCACTCAGGAGATGCAACTTATTCAACTAACATAAAAGCTGACCATAGAACAACAAGTATCATTACCCTGAACAGAACTGGACCCTTTCCTACTTCAGAATCAAGAAAAAAATGTCATTGCATTTCAGTGATGTAGCTCATGGTCCTGCATTTGGTCCCAAGCACTTGTTGGGAAAAGAAATACTTGCTCATTAACTTCAATATCCAAAAGGTGCAAAGAAAAGAACTGACATCTCTAAACTAGGACTTTGGTAGCCCTGGGCTCACTAAAGGTCCAAAAGACCCTTTCCTCTCTGCTTAGCTCTCTCCACCTCCTTGGAGCTTCCACACATTAGCCTTCTCCCACTCTGATCTGTGGACGTCTAAAAAGAGTAGGAGCACCTGCATTAGCCAGAATCCCACAATGAGGTTGCCCTTTCTGCTGGAACCAACGTGTTGGAAAAGAGGACTTGTACAGGTCCTCAGACTGGTGTTGATCTTGGTGCAGGCACAACAGAAAACCTGGAAATTCAGAATGTTCATGTCCTCCAGTCCGGAAACAGCCAGGAAACAGTGATTTTATAGTCAAGGCCCGGGCATATTCCTGTGCTCAGCTCTTCTCAGGAACTATCTCACAGTGTGCAGGGTTGTAGACAGCTCTCCTGCACCAGTGTGAATGACCAAGCACCTTTGTGAGTGTCAGCCTTCACTACTGGACCCATCACAGCACAGCCCATTTGCACAATTATGCATGGCAGCATTATCTGCAGACATGGCTCTCGGGGCCAATGGAAAGTTTCAACCACCACAAGTTCTCCACGAGGCACAAAGTCAGAGTCAGGGGACAAAGAGAAAGGACCTAACAGCTCCCTTGAGCCATTAGCTTGGCCCCTCTCCCTCTAGTTCTTTAGTAATGAGCACTGAAAGCATAACCATTTAAAGATCTGCTTATGGAGGACTTCCCCAGTGAGTCCAGGAGCCCCACTGGGGCGTGTGCTCTAACTGCACAAATGTGGCTCAAATGAAAAAAGATTAAAAAGACAGCCAAAACTGGAATGCTGACTTCTTGGATCACATCACATTTCCACGGTAATTCCATGAAATTCATGTACAATATTAAAGTGTCAGTTTAAAAGGAAACCAGTTATTAGTAAAGGATAACAGGTGCTTTAAACTATAGTAAGTGTTGACATTTGAAGGAAAGGAAGCATAATCACTTAATGCTTCTCTGACTTTGCATGAAAATGAATATCCACTCCCTGTCAATTCTCACCTCTATTCCACTAAGTGACTGAATAAAAAGAAGTACAAATCCCTTAATGATAAACCTAATGCATATTGTCAAGGACAAATAAACTAATATGTCAATCAAACTTTAACAGAACTGAAAGATGCACCCATGCCAGAAGATGAAAATGCAATTGCAATTATGTTTTACTTTACTGGAGAATAATAATTGTAAATCTGTTACCTTAGCTAGTAATCAAACTAGTCTTCAGAGTACAAAAATACATATTTAGATTGTAATGGCTTGAAAAAATGTGAGTCCTCTTTCTGTCTTTCCCCACTCTCCACTCCCTTTCCATTGAAGGAGAGCCCAGGAAAAAGCATTGTGGCAAATCAATTTTTCTTTCTCCATACACATGCACATCATGTTGTCTAAACTGTTGTCATTTGACAGTGCTGAGGTTTTAAAAGCAATTCTCTCACCCCAATATTCTTGACTAAAAATAAGCTTTTTGATTTTCAGGTTAGTCTGACATGGGTTTAAGTATCTCATTCCACATGACAGATACCTTGGGGCATACAATACTGAGATGTCAAAACCTGAGCAAGCCCCTTGTGCAAGCATAAGCCATCTAAAAGGTGGTTTTGCAAATTTACCTCTTTTTTCTTCCTTTCTTCCTCCTTCCGTTTCTTTTCTTCTCTTATCTGAGCCAAACGTTGTTTTTTGCGCTCAAGTTCTGCTTTTAAATCACTTTTGTCTGACATTTTGACTCTGCTGGAAACAAAAATATGGAAATCAAGGTGAAAATTGAATCATTACCCTATTTACTGAAAAAAAAAATTATATCAAAATGAGGGGTTCTAAAATTGCAACAAATATATTTCTATATAAACACTGGTCCTTGGACTATACTGACATTGTAGGAAGTGGAATATTTTCTTTGCAATTTTCATTTCAAGAAACTAGACCAGAATATCACCAAATGTGGAATATATTTTCAGACTACCTCTACAACAAAATTACCTTTGTGAAGCAAACCTATTCCTGTTCAAAATAATGCTTTCAAAGTGAAGTTAAAGTCTTTTGATTTCCATGATCTTCAGCAGCTCTGCCAGAGTGTAGAACTCAGATCCACAAATAGATTCCAAGTACCAGAATCAGAGCTGCCCCAAACAGGCCCATACTTCTTAGACAAGTAATAATTTTACTTGCAAAAAATGGAAACAAGAGAGCTTTTGCTTATGCAGGTGCTTTGTACAGCTGCCAGGCAGCAGCCCCTGTCCCACCAAGACAGTCCCACACAGACCATCAGTTCAGTCTCAGTTTCCTTCTCACATTCACCCCTACAGCAAGCACACTCTGAGCTATCCTGCCCAGGAATCTCTTCCACCCTTTCCAGGGAAAGCTGGGCCATTCCCCCAGGAAGCTGCAGACAAGGCACAAAACCCCAGCAAATCAACGTTTCTCTTTAATGAAGCAGCACATTGCTCTGCCAACAGTCTTGTGTTCAGGTCATCTTTCTGAGAGGCAGGAGACATGCCTAACACTCCTGATTTGATGCCAACCACACAAACTTGGCAAAAACATTTCTTCTGAAATACTGAAAGACCTCTTCCACCATTTAAACCCACTTTTCTTTAGAATAGAGATGTGAAGCCACAAATACTCTTTCTCTTTCAAACCTCTGTTATAATGATGTACATGAGACTTGAAAATAAAGTGTAAGGAAATAAAAAGTCATTCTATACAGATACAGAGCCAGATCTTTAAATAGCATATATTAATATTTTTCTACAGTTATAAAACCCTACCAGAGTTGCACAAATCCATAACTTAAGTCACGGATGATTTATTGAATTTCTAACATCATAATCATTATGAACTGTAATCTAACTGTATCAATACTGGTTTTCTTATTAGGACTTTGTTTCAAGGACAGTTCTGACTAATATAGACATTCATGAAAAGAGCTAACTGTGCCTTTCCTGTTCACACATCACCGACCATATCCTCTGCTGCAACTCAAGATCAATCAGATCAATGGCAGTGCCATGTGTACGCAATGGAAGTCTATTGTTCACTTGATGCATGGGAAATTTGAATGTCAACTCTCCCTTAGCATAATGAGAACTCTACTCATATTACTGCCTGGATGGGTGGATGACCAGAGAGTAAAATTATCTGCTAAAAATTACATGGCACTTTCACCCATCATGAATTTCACTGCAGACATCAGCTTCCTCCTCAAAATGATAAAAGCCTGATAGTTAGCCTGTGACATGGAGGATATTGCCAACAAAACACCACCTGCACATTAAGCACAATCTTGTCCCCAAGTGCTTTGTTGTCTTTGCAAGCATATCCCTTAAAGGAAAGAATAAAATTACATTTGGAATCAGACAAGGAAACCATTTAATGAAAAGGGCAGACATAAGAGCAGCTCAAACTGCAGCTCACACTGTCACAGATTCTGCACTTCAGCAGAGCTGCCCATGCTGGCAAGGCACCCTTTCAAGGCCAGGGGACTCTGGTTCCATCCACAACAGCTGCCAGCAAATGGTATAGCTACAAAACACCAACCAATGGGACCACTGGATACACTGGCTGCATGTGGAGGACCACCATTTCTTTATTCCTCTATCACTCTCATCCTATCCATAATGGTTTTGCTATCAATTGGAGAAAATCAAAACTGTCAGAAAAAAAATTGTATTTGCTATCAGGAAAAGTAAGCAGTAGCACCTTAAACAACACTAATCTGTGTGATCAGCTGATATCAGTGAGCTATTTTTTACATGAGAAATGCCCAGAGGGAAAAAAAAACCAAAAACAACAAGCATTTTAATGGCAGAGCAGGTAATGTTTTGCCTACCAATCTGTTCAGGATTTCTGTGTCTCTTTTAGATATGGCTGAAATCTCATTTGAAGTCATTTTCCTAATCTGTTGCACACATTTGAATTCTGATTATGAAGTTACCCCACAGAGCCCCTTGGACTAGATAGAGTTTTTGCATCCTTTTAGTTCTGCAGTTTGGCAACAGAGAGAGAGCTCCCATTTCCATGCAAAAAATATGCAAATGCATTTTAAGGCTACTGACAGAAACCCTGAGGGTTTGGCATCCCTTTCAAGCTGTTTGTCAGATATCAATGAATGGCTTTCTAAAAATTCATTCCCTTAATGCCAGGGAAGCTAACTAGCTTTTCCCCTGATTTGAGCATCAATGGTTTAGTGCCTGGCCCCTCTTTTACAAGGCTCCAGTCAGGGTGATCAAATCCTATTATAACTTTGCTCTATTTTTAACAAAATAGATCTTACATACAACAAAGACGATGTATTAAATTTCCTTCAAAGAATGTTGCCAGAGCTCAGTTATAGACTTTCATCCTGAATATATTATCGTCATGCCTGAGCCCCCCAGACAGCTTACCAACCTGCACACTGGCTATTTACAATTTTAGAACAAATAGAACACCAAGGGTATGTAACCATCTTTCTTAGATGCCAGCAAGCTGGTAGCAAGCAAGGAGGCAAATGTACTTATCACTCTGCTTGGCATTAACCGTGGAGTTAACACTGTTCATTCCTGGGAGCAAATTTCTAATAAGTGCCATTCTGAGTGCCAAAAGGCATGCCACACCAAGAGAGATAAAGGCAAACAGTAAAAGAGATTTACTTTTAACATTCTCTGTGGTGCAGAATGGCAGCCCAAGGCTCATGCACAACCTAATCTGCAGCCTGGGAGAATGCACTGGTCAGAGGAATCACTAAGGAGCACATTTGGTACTGAAGCAATTAAATCCCCTGTGTGGGAGAAGGAACACATAGGAACAAACACACTGAACACTGAGTAAGTGTAGAAATAATTATCATAGTAGGACAACAGCCTGGGGCTCCCCTGTTCAAGGGAGATGCATAATCTTAGACCAATTTTTATTTGTTTGGCCCAGTTTATTGTCATGGTTTTAAAAGGGGAGAGAGTCCTCCCACTGCAGAAGAGCTTACCACACATGCAAGCACAGGTTCTTGTTATCAGCTCTTGCACAGAGCATCTGCCTGAACTCCCAATACTTGGAGAAAATTCTCCTTCCTTTGAGATACTGAAGAAAGGAGTTGCCTCCTCATGGCATGCCTTTTGATAAAATGGAGTGCTCCATTTCAAGATGTCAGTTTTCCCCATGGCATTAAACATGCCTCAGAGTCCCCTCTTAGGCTTGGAAACACAGTTAATTCCACTTACACATCAGACCCAGCATGATGGCAGCTACCCAGGCCTGTGCACGTGCAGCTCTGGCTTCCAGGGACTGCTTTCTGGGACTTCACCACCTTCTGGCTTAGCTCACAGCATCCTGGATGCCCACAGCGTGCAGGCAGAGCTATCCCTACCATCAGTACAGGTAAAATCAAAAGAGTCTGGGTATGCTAGGACATAATTCCACTTTTGCTAAAGCAGATGTTTAAAAGCAGCTAAGATCAAGCATGCCCCAAAGTCACCAATTCCTTTTTAATTATGGAAAAGATCCCTGGGTGATCTACATTAAATTCTAGAAATCTCCATTGTAAATGTCTCAGACAGGGTGAGGAGAATCCTGTCCTTCCAATGCTCCCAGCAGTTCCTTTGTCACTATATGAAACAAGATATTTGAAAGACAATTTACATTAATCTTAAAATAATAATGATGTTTGCACAAACCTCTCTGCTGTACACAACATATGCCAAACTACTCCACTAAGCTCATCCTACAGGTAGTAACATCTCACAACCATTTCATTTGTGGTAGCAGTAAGAATGCAAATATGTAAACAACAGTATTTCATCCTTCACTGGACTAAAAGCCAAGCAAGTACTTTTAGTGGTGCAAGCCAGTTTTACTACAGCTTTATAAGCTACAAGGTCTTTATCAATGATCAATATCACAGTATTTGGGCAAATATTTTTTCAAAGCATTTCTATAAATGCTTAACTGCAGAAACATCACAGGTATCTAAAAAGTTTTACATGAATTTCAATACCAATAAGTTGATACTTATTAGAAGAATAAAACCAGAAGAACAGGTACAAAGAATTGTAAGATGTGTAAGTAGACTAAATATAGGAGGAAAAAAGCCCAAAATGCCCAATGTATATCAAATAAAATAAAAAGACAATTACAACAGTGCACTTTTAAAGTATAAAAAGTAAACAACATGTAAGATCTCCCTTCTCTTCCAGCCTGCATTGTATTTGCTAGGATAGCATTTTGCCTGCATGCTTTTGCCAAGCTCATCTAAAAAGGAACCTAAGTTTCCAAATCTGGTAGCATATAAAAAGCCTACAGATTTTACTGCTTTTTGGTGTTTGCAGGATTTTTACATGCTGTTCATTCAGTAGGCTGCACTAGAGTAGAAATTTTACCCTTTATGAGCCTTGAGGTCTTTCCTGATCTGTGAGTTCCTGTGTTGCCTTTGTTGTTACTATCTCTGCTGCAATTACCAAGGGGGTTCATTAAATACTGTTACATATGGCATTAGTCATCCTATATAACTAATTATAAATAATTGATTCATTAATGAACTTCTCTGAAATAAATAGGCAGCATCTAGCATTTAGAGACACTGTACATGTATTATTCATATGCCTTCATAAATAGCCAGTTACTTGCGCCCAAAACTGCAAAACATATTTTGTGAAATGCAAAGGATGGTGCACAATAAACTATATTACTCAGTGGTTACTTTTTGGTTTTAAAGAATGGGTTTATAGAGTGGAAGTACTATTACTATTGAAACTTTGACA